GTGGACACCAGAGGTTCGGGGAGCCGTCAGGCTGAAGAAGGAGGCCTACAGGGCGTGGCTGGTCTGTGGGTCTCCGGAGGCAGCAGACAGGTACCGGATAGCCAAGCGGGGTGCAGCAGTGGCAGTTGCCGAGGCAAAATCTCGGGCGTGGGAGGAGTTTGGTGAGGCCATGGAGAAAGACTATCGATCTGCTCCAAAGAGGTTCTGGCAAACTGTCCGGCGCCTCAGGAGAGGAAGGCAGCAACTCGCTCACACTGTTTACAGTGGGGATGGGGAGCTGCTGACGTCAACTGAGGCTATAGTCGGACGGTGGAAGGAATACTTTGAGGAGCTCCTCAATCCCACCAATGCGCATTCCGAGGAGGAACCAGAGCTGGGAGGCCTGGGGATGGACTGTCCGATCTCGGGGGCAGAAGTTGCTGAGGTAGTCAAACAACTACACAGCGGCGGAGCCCCGGGGGCGGATGAGGTTCGTCCTGGGTATCTCAAGGCTATGGATGTTGTAGGGCTGTCATGGTTGACACGTCTCTACAACATTGCGTGGTCATCGGGGGCAGTTCCTAGGGAGTGGCAGACCGGGGTGGTGGTCCCCATCTTTAAGAAGGGTGACCTGAGGGTGTGTTCCAACTATAGGGGGATCACACTCCTCAGCCTCCCGGGAAAGGTCTACGCCAAGGTACTGGAGAGGAGGGTCCGATTGATAGTTGAATCTCAGATAGAGGAGGAGCAATGTGGTTTTCGTCCTGGCCGTGGAACTGTGGACCAGCTCTATACCCTTGCAAGGGTGATGGAGGGGGCATGGGAGTTTGCCCAACCAATCCACATGTGCTTTGTGGATTTGGAGAAGGCTTATGACCGTGTCCCCAGGGGCACCCTGTGGGGGACGCTCCAGGAGTATGGGGTGGGTGGCGTTCTGTTAAGGGCCATTCAGTCCCTTTACCAGAGGAGCGTGAGTTTGGTCCGCATAGCCGGTAGTAAGTCGGACCTGTTCCCAGTGAGGGTTGGACTCCGCCAGGGCTGCCCTTTGTCACCGGTTCTGTTCATTACCTTTATGGACAGAATTTCTAGATGCAGCCGTGGTGTGGAGTGTGTCGAGTTTGGTGGCAGGAGAATCTCGTCTCTGCTTTTTGCGGATGATGTGGTCCTCCTAGCTTCATCCAGCTCTGACCTTCAGCTCTTGCTGGGTAGGTTCGCGGCCGAATGTGAAGCGGCTGGGATGAGGATCAGCACCTCCAAATCTGAGACCATGGTTCTCGACCGGAAAAGGGTGGCTTGCCACCTCCGGGTCGGGGAGAGGTCCTACCTCAAGTGGAGGAGTTTAAGTATCTCGGGGTCTTGTTCACGAGTGAGGGTAGGAGGGATCGGGAGATCGACAGGCGGATTGGTTCGGCGTCTGCAGTGATGCGGACGCTGAGCCGATCTGTCGTGGGGAAGAGGGAGCTGAGCCAGAAAGCCAGGCTCTCGATTTACCGGTCGATCTACGTCCCAATCCTCACCTATGGTCATGAGCTTTGGGTAATGACCGAAAGAACGAGATCGCGGATACAAGCGGCCGAAATGAGTTTCCTCCGTAGGGTGGCCGGGCTCAGCCTTAGAGATAGGGTGAGGAGCTCGGACATTCGGGAGGGACTCGGAGTAGAACCGCTGCTCCTCCGGATCGAAAGGAGCCAGTTGAGGTGGTTTGGGCATCTGGTCAGGATGCCTCCTGGACGCCTCCCCGGGGAGGTGTTTCGGGCATGTCCTGCCGGCAGAAGGCCCCCGGGTCGACCCAGGACACGTTGGAGAGGTTACATCTCCAATCTGGTCCGGGAACGCCTTGGGGTCCTGCCGGAGGAGCTGGTGGACAAGGCCGGGGAGAGGACGGCCTGGAGCTCCCTAATTGGGATGCTGCCCCCGCGACCCGGACCCGGATAAGCGTAGGAAGACGAAGACGAAGACGAAGATTTATTCTAGGAGTCATGTAGCCAAGAGGGAGCTAATAACCTTATTTTAAAGAACCATTGATCTTTACCCTAAATGTTTGACTCGCCCAAATAATCCTGCAGGTGCAGCGCTGACGTCTTCAGAGTTAAATACCGAGCACAAATAAATAACCAGTCAGGAAACAGCATGGCTTTAATTACATGGATCACCACACGGAGCTGTAAGGCGCTGCCAACTAAAACTACATCTCCACTCTAAATAAGAGCTAAGCTCACAGTGAGTAGCCTCCATTATCAAGGAAACACTGCCTGTTGTCTGTCTGTCCCGTAGACCAAAAGAAAGTTGTGATGCTGCACAAGAGATCAAAATGTTCTCTTCATCAAAAAGATGCAGTAGAAGGAGGGGAGCTGTTCCACAAGCTCTTTAGTTCAAAAGCTCCTGGAAGCAAGAGCCTTGTGCTGCACGGTAGAGTGGTTTCCTAGCGTTTAGTGTTTTCTGGCTGTTAGAAGTTTGAGGAGGCAGCATGATGCCAAATGACTTCAGAAGTGCACAACAGGGTGGTCATAAGAGCCAGAGCAGGAAAACAGCAAAAATGACCCACAAAAGCAGGAAAACGGGTAATTATGGAGATAGCTTTTTTAATTTTTGCACCTTAAAGACCACAGTAAAGCTGTTCAACCTAGTAGGAACGTTGTAAGCTTTAAGCCAATCAGATCTGACACAAGTTATAAAAACGAGCGTAATGAGAGTTTATCTAATGCAGCCTCAAGCACAGAACAACTCCAACACTTTAAATAAAAACTATTCTGGCTGATTTACAGAAAACGTTTTAAAGAAGTTAAAATCCCGAACTGACGTTTCCAGCTACTTCAAAACCGCTCTAGACATAAATGTTGTTTTTCTATTTCAGTTCATTTCCATGATTCAGGAGAAGTTTAGATGCTGTGTTTCTGAGTTTTTAGGTGGGTTTAATGTCGGTCTAACTCATCAGTCTTTCATCAGTGTGCTCCAGGGCAGCTTTGGCTACGATCGCTCATCATCTTCAGTGTCTGAATGCTTGTAATGTAAAGTGCTTTAGAAGTGCAGGCCTTTGACCAGGTCCAGTGTTACTCTTAGGAGTCAAGTTTCTGCAATATCACGTGGACATCGGAGGCAGTTCCACTGGGGTGGCAGACTGAGGTGGTGGTCCCCCTATTTTAAAGGGATGTGTTCCAACTACAGAGGGATCACACTCCTGAGCCTCCCTGGTAATGTCTAAGGTTCTGGAGAGGAGGGTCCGTCGGATTGTCGAACCTCAGATCCAGGAAGAGCAATGTGGACCAGCTCTATAACCTTAGGGGGGTCTTGGAGGATGCGTGGGAATTTGCCCAACCAGTCTACAATTGTTTTGTGGATTTGGAGAAGGAGTTGGACCGTGTCCCTCAGGGGTGTACTCCGGGAGTATGGGGTACCAGGCCCTCTGATACGGGCTGTTAGGTCCCTGTAATACCGGTGTCAGAGTTTGGTCCGCATTACCGGCAGTAAGTCGGGCTCGTGAGAGTTGGACTCCGCCAAGGCTGGCCATTGTCACCGATTCTGTCCATAACCTTTATGGACAGGATTTCTAGGTGCAGCCAAGGTGTGGAGGGAATCGGTTTTGGTGGCCTAAGGATCAGGTCTCTGCTTTTTGCAGATGATGTGGTCCTGTTGGCTTCATCAGAACGTGATCTTCAGCTTTCGCTGGAGCAGTTCTCAGCCGAGTGTGAAGCAGCTGGGATGAGAATCAGCTCCTCTAAATCTGAGACCATGGTCTTGATTCGGAAAAGGGTAGAATGCCTTCTCCGGGTCAGGGATGAGGTTCTGCCTCAAGTGGATGAGTTTAAGTATCTCGGGTTCTTGTCCACGAGTGAGGGAAAGATGGAGAGCGAGATCAACAGGCGGATTGGTGCTGCATCTGCAGTGATGCGGGCGTTGTACCGGTCTGTCGTGGGGAAGAGAGAGCTGAGCCAGAAGGTAAAGCTCTCGATTTACCGGTCGATTTACGTTCCTACCCTCTCACCTATGGTCATGAGCTTTGGGTAGTGACCAAAAGAACGAGATCGCTGATACAAGCGGCTGAAATAGGTTTTCTCTGCAGAGTGGCTGGGCTCTCCCTTAGAGATGGAGTGAGAAACGGTCATCCGGGAGGGGCTCGGAGTAGATCCACTGCTCCTCCACATCGAGAGGAGCCAGTTGAGGTGGCTTGGGCATCTGATTAGGATGCCTCCTGGAGGCTGCCCTGGTGAGGTTTTCCGGTCACGTCCAACAGGGAAGAGACCTCAAGGGAGACCCAGGACACATTGGAGGGACTACGTCTATTGCTTGGGCTGGGAACGCCTTGGGATTTCCCCGGAAGAGCTGGCCCAAGTGGCTGGGGAGAGCGAAGTCAGAGCTCTTGACTTTGGCTACTGCCGACTCCGGCTAAGCGGAAAAGAATGGATGGATGGATGGAGTCAAAGTTTAATTCAACAGGATCAAGTGATACACAAATCTTGATTTTGAAGGTGGAAAGTTATGTCCTGATTTCCACTGTGAATCCGCCAGTGCATTGCATTGTGGGTACTTGGCTGTCATATTACAGGCTGTGCTAGACGCTGCAAAACAAAATAAAACATAAGGATCCAAAAACTCAGTTTTCGTGTAATCCGGAGGTGCAAACTCAGCAGAATTTTTAAAAATATAAATTGGTGCAGGTAGAACTTCAAACGATGATGATGTGTTTCATGAATGACTCGTGTTCAGTAAAATCATTTGTGGGATTCTCAGAAGGAGCTCGTCTCAGTGAATATGAACACTAACGTTTCTCTGCCTCTTCCTGGAAAACGTTTGTCCTTTTGGAGTCCTGGCGGCGTATCGGCAGACCGCTTCTGAAAGGTTGCATCAGGAAAACAACGTTCAGAGAAAAGATCTGCACAAAAAAACAAAATGCTTGACAGACCTATAATTAAAGCGACACTGTCGGCCGGGAGCAGGAATACAACCTCCGTCCACGGAGACCGTGACTAGATTCCTGTTGGAAAGCCGGATCTCTTCATACAAACAAACCAACAACAGACAAACTCTTTATTGTTTTATTTATGTTAAAATACATATTAAACAGTTACAATAAATTATATCCCAAATGTCAACTTTAAATACAAAAGTTATCACAAACTGTACACATCATGACGGCGTTTGCGGTTGTTCTTGTTGATACAGATTGAACGATTACAGCTCGAAGCTTTAGCCTCCTACCGATGGAACAACTCTGAGTTGAGTTTCGATTTTCACTAATTGTTCACGATTATTACAGAACGTGTATAAACTCCATGAGGAGTCTGAGTTTTTTTTCCAAAGTGTCACCAAACAATAGAAATACATTGTGAAGTCTTCCATAAATTCACAATAACTTGTGGGTATTTACAGACGGATTCGTTGACGCGAACGAACCCGTTTCCAGAAACAAAGTCACTGCATTCGGTTTTAGTTCACATTAATGTAACAGCTGTGTAAACACTCAAACACTGCACATTTTCTCTCAGTAAGTGCTTTTTTCAAAGTGGTCACAGGCATGCTACAAGTAAAAATATAACTTTCTTTAGGGGGAGAACAAGCAGAAAGCATCATTTACTGCATGTGCAAGATAACAGTACATAGCCTTTCTCTCATTGCTATGCTGATTATTTATTACTCAAACGTGAAGAAAAGTTCAATGTTAGATGTTTTGATCTTGATTTAAAATGGCTTCATGTCAACGTACGCACATAAATGCTGTTTGTGCAAATGGAGATAAAAAAAGAAAATTACATCCCTGATTTTACAATTATTAACATTAATCTGTTTTTCTGAGATATTTGTACTGATCATCACGACCTGTAAAATTAAGACTCGCACAATTAAACATTTATTTCCATTTAATTTAGCCAGTTCAATTACATAAGGTACTAAAATATTTCACGTGTACAAAAATAAATCTAAATTTGTCATGTTTGTAAATTAATTACAGATTCAGTCAGGTTGCTAGGACATATGGGGTGGGCGATATGTGAAACCATGAAGGATTTGAATGTTTATCCATTCATCTGTTTCCGCCCGGACCGTTTTAGGTGTGACACATTCTGAAACAAAGGGTGTACTTGCTGATGATTTTCTGTTGACATAACTTAACAATCAGTAAATTAGGTTAATTAGCAGACGTTAGCATTTCTAGCTAATGCTAGCATAAAGAAGAAGAAGAAGAAGAAAGTATCATTTCTATAGCGCCTCTCAAGATAAAAATCACGAGGCGCTTAACAAAAACAAAAAAAGTAAAAACATAAAAATAATTTAGAAAATGGTTAAAAATATATTTAAAATGAGCGAAAAATAGACAATTGTGATTAAAGAAAATGTTAAGAAAGAGAGAGAGTGAACAGGAAAGAGGGAAATCAGTGGATCCTGAGGAAGGTGGAATAGGTGGGGAGAGCAGAATAAAGAGAGAGAGGTGAAGAAGGTCATACAAAAGCCAGCTTGAACAAGTGAGTCTTCAGTTGCTTTTTAAAGGAGACCACTGAGTCCACTGATCTCAGGCTCAGGGGGAGAGAGTTCCAGAGTCTGGGGGCCACAGCAGCAAATGATCTGTCACCTTTGGCCTTTAACCTGGTGCGCTGCACAACCAGTAGGTTTTGATCACTGGACCTCAGGGACCTGCTGGGGGTGTAGGGACTAAGAAGATCACCAATGTAAAATGGTGCTTGTCCATGTAAGACCCTATAGACCAGAACCAGGATCTAGAAATGAACCCTGAAGTTGACTGGCAGCCAGTGAAGCTGGAGGAGAAGCGGGGTGATGTGGGTGTGTTTGGAGGACTTGGTCAGAAGCTGAGCACAGTCGTTCTGAACCACCTGTAGACGGTTCAGGGAGGTTCTGCTCAGACACGTGAAAAGAGAGTTACAGTAGTCTAAGCGTGAGGAGATGAAGGTGTGGAGAACTGTCTCAAGTTCAGAGCGGGACAGAATGGGACTCCGCTTAGCAACGTTCCTGAGATGGAAGAAGGAAGAGCGAACAAGAGAACTGACATGGGAATCCAGGGTGAGAGCTGGGTCAAAGGTCACACCAAGATTCCTGACAGAAGGTTTGGTGTGAGAAGCAAGCTGACCAAGAGAGTCTATGACTTTGGGAACCAGCTTGTCTGGGGCACAAATGAGGATCTCAGTCTTATCTTCATTCAGCTGAAGAAAGCTCCCAGCCATCCAGGTTTTGATAGAGTCTAAGCAGGTGTGTAACAGCTGCAGCTTAGACATCTCATGGGGCTTAAAGGAGATATACAGTTGGATGTCATCTGCATAAAAATGGTAGGAAATTCCTTTGAAGGAGCTCAGGATGTGCTGAAGAGGAAGCAGATAGAGGAGGAAGAGCAGAGGCCCCAGCACAGAACCTTGTGGGACACCATGGGTAAGAGAGGAGGTGGAGGACCTAAACTTGGAGACGGCCACAGAAAAGGAGCGCTCAGAAAGATAAGAGGAGAACCACTCCAGAGCAGATCCTGATAGGCCTACCCAGTCTCTGAGCCTCTCAAGTAGCAGGTGATGGTCAACAGTGTCAAAGGCTGCAGTCAGGTCCAGCAGGACCAGAACAGAACGGTCCCCTGCATCACTGTGAGTCAGAAGGTCATTAGAGACCCTAAGAAGAGCTGTTTCAGTAGAATGAGCTCTACAAAAACCTGACTGAAGCAATCACAGATGTTATGTTCATCAAGAGCAGCTGTGAGTTGTTTAGCCACAACCTTTTCCAAGATCTTGGAGATGAACGGAAGTTTAGAGATCGGGTCTGAAGCTGCTATGGAGAGAGGGGTCTAGACTCGGTTTTTTAAGAAGCGGGTGGATTACAGCATTCTTAAAGTAAGCAGGGACCTGACCAGAAACCAGAGAAGCATTAACTATAGAGAGCACGCTGGGACCGATGGACAGAAAAGCACTTTCAAACAAAGATGAGGGTAAGATGTGGAGGGGGCATGCAGAGGTCTTCATAGAGTTAACTAGTTTGGTTAACTCAGGCAAAGAAACAGGAGCAAAGCTATCTAGGATGATGGGCCTGGTTGGAGTCGGGAGAGGCAGCGATAAGGCTGAAGGAGAGATGCTAGATCTAACCTTATTGACTTTGTCCACAAAGAAAGACAGAAAGTTCTCACAGTCTGTAACAGAGTGGATGGAGGCTGTAGGAGAGACAGGAGAGACGATGCTGCTGATCGTGTTAAACAGCACCTTGGGGTTCCCTTTGCTCTGGGACACCAGGTTGGAGAAATAGGAAACCCTAGCATCTCTGACTGCAGAGTTAAAGATGACAGAAGATCCTTTAGGTGCAGCAGATGGACGTGGAGACAGGTTTTCTTCCACAAACGCTCAATTTTTCTGCATTGGCGCTTTAGGCTGCATATGCTGTCATTAAACCAGGGAGTAGGGTTCACTGCAGGAACTGATCTGGTTCTGACAGGACAGATGTTGTCCAGAATAGAGAGGCAGTGCTAGTTAAACTGAGAAGTTAAGGAATCTGGGTCGTTATCAGAAGAACAGGGTGGATCAAAAGCAGCAGAAAAATTTCTAGCTGTGCTCTCATTAAGAAAACGAGAACTAACCAGACGGCGAGCAGGAGGTGGGGATGCAGAAACGGACAAGTTAAAGAAAATGCAAAGCTGCAACTCATTAGCTGCATCTGTTTCCTGTGAGTGTTGCTGCAAATAAATCGCAATAGGAATTATAATTAGAAAGTAAAAACTCCCACCACATTTCGCCCACCCCTAACTTACACATGTTTTTATTTAAATACGTCTTCATCACTCGGTACAATGTTTGCTACATTTATCTGCTGCTGTTTCTCTAATCATCACTTAACCAATACATTTCTGGGACAGGTGAACTTTTAGGAATTGGCATACCTAGATTGTGACTTGTATTTGTTTACTGGTAAATGTTTTCACGGCATGGAGCAGCCCTTTACCTTGAGCGTCATTAAATTAAATAACTCACCAAAGGCCTAGAAAATCTTGGTGAGTGCTGTGCATAGCCATCTCTTTAGAGCACTTGAAGAAGTTGCATTTACACGAGTGTGTGGCATTTTAATACAACTATAGAGATGCAGTGAGTTCAGTTTTCCTTCAGCATGCTCTTGAAACTGGGTTCTTACAGCAGTGGGTGATGTGCTCGTACCCAGGACCATCAGGGAGTCGGTGGAGGTTTGGGTGAAGAACACGACCCTTGACTCTCAAAGCTTGCAGCTCTCCCGGGCCACTGAAAGGTAAAATATCAGAAATCCTTAAAGTCTTTTTATATGACACATCAGTTATTTCTACAGTTCTGTGATCATTGGCAAATTCAGCATGTCTGTCTGGTCTGGTCTGGTCTGGTCTGGTCTGGTCTGGTCTGGTCTTGTCTCGTCTTGTCTGGTCTGGTCTTGTCTTTGCTATTGAAGCAGTTTGTACCTCTGGGCATGTCCAAACCCTCCCAGTCTGTCCTCTCACTTTATCTCCACAACATCTACCATGAGTTGTCCCTCTGATGGATCCATTCCTGATCATCCTCGTCGCTCCTCAACCTCCATTTCTGCCCCCTGCAGTCTTCATAAACAGACAATATGGCTGCTCTCCCTACTGCCTTTCCTACCTTTACTTCTCCTTTCTGCTGAAACCCTTTTATCACACACGCCTGACACCTGTTCTCCACCCATTCTAACCTGCTTCACACACTTCTTCACCTCTTTTTCACACCCTGCTGCTTTGGACCGTAGACCCCAAATACACAACAACCTTCTTTACTTCTAGTCTCTGTAACATCACTGTTCCACTTCTGTCCCTCTCATTCACACACGTAATCCATCTTGCTGTGACTAATCTTCGTTCCTCTTTTTTTTAGCAGACCTCTCTAGCTTTTCTACCTGCACCCTGAAGATGCATTTCGTGTTTCTAAATATGCTTTGAAATGGTAACATCATGTTTCTGGTTATTGTCACATTCAGGGATCTTTTAGAAAGCTCGGTAAACGTGGGTTCTTTTAGAAATGTGAGAAGGTTTGCGTACCTCTCCCAGAGCGTGCCAGTGTGTGATGGGTTTGCGTGGATAAGCCAACATTTCGTTCCAGTGATCTCGTCCAAGGCCTACAGCATCTGGACCAGCTCGGCACACCCCGATCACCTCATTGTGTCCAACCCTGTTAGGATTAAAACATGCAGACTAGCTAACAGAAAAATGATCACAAAAACTCGTAACTGTTTCTCCTGAAGTCCTTCCTCATCCATCGTAGGGGCTCAGTTTTCTCCTGCCAGTGGACTCATGAACATCAATCGTTAATGTGCGAGGGGAATCCTTTGTGACCTCTCGGTATATTACAGTTTGCTTGTGATTGATTATTTCATACCCCAGAGATGTTTGTGTAACCTTTTCCTGTATGATGAGCATCTATAAATCTTTAAAAACCATCATGTACTTCTACAACGGACTTTGATGAATCTCTGTTCTTAAAATAACCCACCCCTCATCTGGCACCCATCTCTTTGATTAAAACATCTATCTCTACCTTCACCTTCACATTAACTACTAATCCTGGCATGTTCACTTACTTTGGGCACACCTTAACTAGAATCTGGAACTATAATAATTGACTATCTTTAATTTATTGAACTTATTTGGATAAATTGAACCAATTAAAATCAGCGATAATCTTTTTAAAGAGATTAAAGGCCATGGCAGCATTGCCTGATTTTATTCCAAAGTTTTAAAATATGTTCAGATGGTACGCAGCAAATAAAGAACAAGTTGTGAATGAATCTCAGGTAAAACCATGTAAAATATTAGCTCAAAGTCGACCAAGTTGGAGCCATTTTTGTGTTCGGAAATACCGGTTGTCTCTGGCAGCCATCTTGAAATGAGTTTAAACTGAATGTTAACAAAGGTTTAAGCCCAGATCACACTGTATGCTTGGAGGAAGGCTTCAGACATGGGCCACCTCACCGCCCGCCGGTTTCGTGCTCAATTTACCCACCTTTGGTCCACATAAAGGCTAGGGTTGAGTTAGCCAGTGGTCCCCTAGGCAGCTAGCAGGAATGTCCTGAACAGCGCAGTGATTTTTTTATAGACCTTTAATGGGACTTAATAAATACAGGCCACGGGTAGTAATAGGCTGTGGAAAAAAGAAAAAAATAATAAAATAAAGAAGGGGGGATTCTGGTTATTTTTGGCTTCTATTAATGTGTTTTTTTTTTCCTTTTAAGGGAGGGGGTGTTATGGTCAACAGTTTCTACTTGCTCCTGTTCCTGCTCCATCTCCCTGCAGAGAAGAGCAGCTCCACCTCCCTCCTGCCTTTCCAGCTGCGCTCAATCCCTAATCAGCTCCCAAGTTTTAAAAAGGGCGTGGCCAGGAGAACCAGAGGGCAGAAAGAGTGGAGAATACATTGAGAGTAATTGAAGAACATTAAAAACTACACGTATTGTGGCACTACAGGTAGAAATGGGAGAGATGCCAATACAGCTTAGAATAAAACAGATAGCTTTAATTTATTGGACAAGTATACAAGGGTGTGAGGGCAACGAACACATGGCAAAAAGGGCACTGAGTCCGTGCTAGGAAACGGAGAAAATGAAGAAGGATTATGGTAGCTGGAAAGTGCAAGATTGGGCAAAAGAGAGTAAGATCCATGATAAAGAACAAATTACGTTTTTATACGGTTAATCCAAAATGGATATTTCCGGGAGTGTTTGTTGATTATAGTATTTATGATAAAATGAGAAGCCGTGGGGGAAAAGGTAATTGGGATAAGATTACAGAAGATACATTAAAAAGCTATGAGTCTTTTGTGCAAATCTTTACAGATGGATCAAAGGACCTGGAAGGGGGAAAACCCGGTTTTGCATTTGTGATACCACATATACGTAGGAGTGGTAGTTAGGGAAAGAACTCCAGATCATTTATCTGTGTACACAGTGGAGATGATAGCTATCTTATTTAGTCTTCAATGGATGGAACAAAATAGAATTAAAAAAGGAACTATATGTACTGATTCATTATCTGTATTAGTGTCAGTTAAATTAATGTCTACCAAGAGTCAAATAGATGTATTATATGAGATATATGAGACCATATTTAGATTAGGGAATTTGGGTACGGAAGTTAAATTTTTATGGGTACCGGCACATAGAGGAGTAGAAGGGAATGAAATGGCAGATTATTTTGCAAAAAAGGCAATAAGAGATAGGAAAATAATAAATATTGCATATAGTGCTGCTGAAATTAAATCTATCATTAAAGCACATATAATGGAAGAGTGGCAAAGAATGTGGGAAAGGGGAGAGAAAGGAAGACATTTGTTTCAGATACAAGGGAAAGTAGGAAAATGGAAAAATATAAGAATGAATAGTAGAGATCAAAGAATAATATCAAGATTAAGAATGGGACATTCTGGGCTTAATAATACGATGCATCTGATGGGGAAACATCCCACAGGTTTGTGTGGATGTGGGGTGGGGGGAGAAACAGTGGAACATGTTTTCTGTGACTGCATAAAATATGAGGGAAGTAGAGGACAACTCAGGGAGAAATTAAAAGACATAGGAGATGGAGTGATGACTGTAAGGAATTTGTTAAATGGTGAAGAAAGGAAATATAAGTTGGTTGTTGGGTATCTAAAACACAGTGGTCTGTTGAATAGAATTTATTTATTTATTTATTTTTTCTGCTCTTACTCCGACTCACACTCCAGCGCAGTAGGTGGCGGAAATGCACCTAGCAGTTAGATGCCACCCACCAATAAACTAGAAGAAGAAGAAGAAGAAGAAGAAGAAGAAGAAGAAGAAGAGAGTAATTGAAACCCAGACACACCTAGTTTGATCCTAGTGTAGTTCAATTGCTCTTAGTTTTGGTTAAAGTTCTGTGGAACCTTTGGGGATTGTGCTCAGTAGAGGTAGGACATTGGTTTAATTAAACCTACTTCTTGTGTTTGCTCAGTGGAGCATTTTTAGAGGCTAAGTTAACCTGTAGGTTGTGTTTGCTCATTGGAGCTTAAGTATAGTGTTTTGGGTTGTATTCTCCAAGGAGCTTTGATTTAGTAATTATTACAGTTTTTTTGTTACCATTACCTTGACAGCCCTGTGCTCGCTCTTAATTTGGTTTGGACTTATTTGGTTTACTTTCTACTTTAGCCAAAAGGGAAATAGCAGAGCTTGAGAGTCCACTCTGACTTATTGGTTTATCATTTTAGTTAATTGATCAATAGTGGAGCTGAGCTCCAGCTTTTGTGTTTCCTCAAGTCCTTGTCTTTTCCCTCTTTAGTTCTGGTATTTAAGTGACCTATTAACCTTAAATGTGTTTGGCCATTTATTTGCAATAAAAACATTTGCTTTTTAAAATCCTGACCCCACACCTTTTATGTTACGATGTCCTTCACCAACACCTTCACCAGTTGTAACAAAGCCAAAAAGGAAGTGGCAAAAATTTCAGTTCCACCCTCATCTGCTAGGCTCTGGCAGCAGAAGAGGGCAAATCCTCATTGACTCCAATGTTAAAAATGCCCATTTCACAGCAGAAATAAACGTGTTTACAGCCTGGTTCAAAAAACCATTTTAGGTTGAATAGATCTAGTTTACATTAATGACAACTCTGAGGGGGTGAATATTTTTGTAACTTTTTTGTTCGTATAATTTAATGCATAGAAATCTGAATAATTAATGAACATCACGTGACTTCCGAGCTAGCTCCGAAGAAAGGCCTCGGTCTCGCGTTAATAGATGTTCAGACATTTTGACTGAACTTTAGTTGTGTCTGTGTGTTCATGTTTGGACATTAATCATGGAATTATTTGGACAAAAGGGCAAGCTGTGGTTACTATGTTGTTTATTCATTTTGCAGACGCTTTTATCCAAAGCGACGTACAATTTTTTTATAACCTATAGGGCATGTTGTGATCTGTGGAGGAAACCGGAGTACCTGGAGGAAACCCACGCATGCATGGGGAGAACACGCAACTCCACGCAGAAAGGCGAGTTTTGAACCTGCGACCTTCGTGCTGCGAGGCAACAGTGCTAACCACTGCGCCACCATGCAGCCCAACAGACTACTAACAGACCATCCAAGCAGATTCTGCTTCTTTTTTTCGGTAAGTAAAATTGTATTTCTGCACTTTATTTTGCTGGTTGAATGAGTGGAGATGCTGTCATTTAACTGCTTGGTCAAACATGTTAGTGGGGCTAAGAACCTTGGGCGGGTGCCCAGCCTCTCCTGTCTCCTGCCTGAGAATAGCAGGCGGCTTCCTGTTCCCGTTTCCCAAGCCAGCTCCAAAGCGAGGCTGTAGTCATGCTGGATCGCCGAGGAAGACCACAGAAACACTGCAGCTCTTTTTGTTGATGCTGCTTCACTTTTGAGACGCTCAACCACATTTTCTTGCTGAAAAACCTGGTAAAACTCTGTTAGCTTCAGATTAGTAATGCAGCTAATGTCCCGCTGATCTCCAGCTCCCGCAGAAGGGACCATCAACAATGGCGAACACACGGATATTTCACCGCAGTGGACCAGCAAAGCCCGATATTCTCGGTCAGCTTACCTAGTTATGATTTTGTTTCTAAACAGCAGAGGTGTGGACTCGAGTCACATGAATTGGACTCGAGTCAGACTCAAGTCATTATTTTAATGACTTCTGACTTGACTTGTTAAATTTATAAAGACTTACGACCTGACTCGGACTTGAATGTCAATGACTTGCGACTTGAATTGACTTGCATGATGACTTAAGCATATTTGATAATTTAGCACAAAAGTGTCACGACATGGACAAAAATAATGAATCATTGTTGGTTCTGGGTTTGATTTACTGCTAAATGCAGCAGCACTTTGTTAATAATCTGTTTCAGTTGCACTTTCTGCTTGTTTGAGCAAATAAATGAAGCTTTAAGAAGGTTTATCTCTGGAATTTATTTATTATCATTGAAAATTGAAGTTGGACAGATGACTTGAATATGACTTGAAAATTCAAAGTTAAGGACTCGGACTTCCACATCATTGACTTTGGACTCGACTTGGACTTGGTTGTCTTTGACTTGGACTTGACTTGAGACTTGACTGGAAAGACTGTGACCTACTTGTGACTTGCAAAGCAGTGACTCGGTCACATCTCTGCTAATCAGGCCGGAGGTGCCTTTACTTTAGAGTCACTCTACCGCGTTTTTCTTGCTGAAAACGACCGGAAAATTTCATTAGCTTTGCGTTGGCATGTAGCTAGTCTCGCTCATCTCCGACCGTGGAGAATGAGCTGATGTAAAAGGCCATAGCGCCTGGCTATATAAAAAGATTTCTTCGGTTTTGAAGTGTGAAGTAAACTTCGATGGAGTAAAATCCAAGCCGATCCCGTTCATTTTGTTTACCTTTGTTGCCTGCCAACATGGCGTCTACTCTCTGAGAATCATGTGACGTCCGGTGCTCTATTGATTGTTTTTTTTTTTTTTTTTTTTGAGGATTTCATTAAAATTTATCCCATGATCCAGGCAATAACATTATCACCCACCATTCCCCTTTTCTTTGTTGGCAAATCAAAACTCCAGTACAACCTAAAAATGGACTACATCGGCTTGTCGAACTTGAGTAAATTCTTTATAAACCCAGAACATTGAACTCACCGGTCGTAGTCCATCACCATGATGGACAGGCTGACTTGTTCCACGTTCTCCGGAGGAATGTCAAAGATGATGGCCTCGTTGTAGACGGGATTAAGTGTGCTTTTCTTGATTGTTGTTTTTCTCTTTTTTAACCTCCGCCCGTTGCATATCAGGTAGACCTTCACATACGGGTCTGATGAGGACAGAGTTATTGAGTTAAAATGTGGCACAAATCTGTTTTAAACTGTTAAACGTTCATCAGCAGCAGCCTCTGAGTCTTCCGTCGTTCAGTTTCAGCAAAGTTTCATTTATGACTCTGCTTTCATCTGGTCTATTTTTGGATTACCTGAAGATCCTGTGATGTCCATGGCTTTCAGATTTCTGCATTTGATGACTGTTAGGGTCATTCTCCCTGCTGTGGGCAGGTAGCACAACGAGTACATGATCTCTCCAAGGTCGATACTCTCCTGGAGGTGGTGGTAAAGGAGATGCAACCAAAGGGATTCAGCCCATTTTTCAAAGCTTAGGCTACATTCTGTCAACCAACATGTCAAAACAGATTAAATATGTAACTCAAGTTTTAGCCACTTAATAAAGGGCACCTATTTGTCCACCTCATTGGTTTAAAGATACATTTTTCACCAACATTCTGAAAATTTCATCTGTTAATCGGTTACTGTATAATTCTGGATTTGCTAAAAATCAAATGAGTCCACTGAGGACCCGTAGTCACACACAAATAAGCTGCTTTTTTGTCTGCTTTTATAGAAAGTTTCATCCTAGAGGACCTTTCTGATTTTTCACTTTGCATTTTCATTCCAGCATTTTCAGTAACATCATAGTTCAGTATTTTCATCCACAAACTTGAACAACTGCTGCTTATTAAAGGGACTTTACGGACTTTTGAATTTTTATGCTCGCGATTGCCCCCTCAGGCCAAAAGTGTAACGGCAGATTCAATAGTAGGCTCGTGTACGAGGCGCGCATGCTGTACGTGCACACTCCTTAACGAAAATAACAGCTGAGACAGTCCCGTGTGTGTGTGTGTGTGTGTGTGTGCGTGTGTGTGTGTGTGTGTGTGTGTGTGTGTGTGTGTGTGTGCGCGCGCGTGCGTGTGTGTGTGTGCGCGCGCGCATGTGTGTGTGTGTGTGTGTGGGGGGGGGGGGGGGTGGCCCGGAGGACAGAGGACAGAAGAACGCACAGCTAATTAATTAAATAATTTGGTTCTGTAGCTTTCTCTTCAGCACAGCCGACAAAGGTTTATGATGGGTCAGTCCTCCTGCATGCTCAGATCATTCCCTTCCCTTGCTTGAAAAATTGCTCTAAAATGAAAGTTGAACCCACATCTTTTTTATCTGTGAATTCAATGCCGTTCGGCGAGTCTCAAATAAAAATGTGGGCATCTTACTGTAAAAAATATACCATCAATGTAAAAAAGAAACTCTAAATAATTATGTTCACAACCAGAGTCAAACCCAGGTCTTCTGCATGAGAGTCAGACATTTTACAAGGTGAGCTACACTCTAGTAACATTTGTGTATCTGTAACTTTTATATCCTTGATGACAGCTGAAACAACGTCAAACCAAAGAACGGTTCGGAGCGAAAATGGCTATTTTGTTGCTAATTTGCAGGAAATATCTAGAAGAAAGTTCCACAGAAAGTAGCTAAGGGTCCTCAGAAATGTAGCTAGGTTCATCACTAGGCGTTAGGAACAGTGACAAAGTCGCTGAGTTGGCACTGCCTCTCTCTCTGCTGCTAAAGCTACGGATAGCAAATGTTACGGGTTATGCCTGAGCGTGAACGCACATGAAGCAGCCTGCTCGACCCGAGCAGCTCTCTTTTTCTGTGATTTTACAGAAAAACAGGCAATCACAGTAAAAATGCCAGGGCTCATGCTACAGGACCAGGGCATTGCAGGAGAATGTATGAAGAAGACATTTATTATTTCTATACATGTTTTGGCTGTCAAACTTCCATATTGTCCCTATAAAGAATAAGCTCTTTCCCACATTTTAAGATGGTGTAGCTATGTAGTTTATGAAACACCAAAAGCTGCCCTCAGGCGCGTCGGCACCACAGATAGAAGTCCTGGGATTGGTTCTGGTTTCTGAGAGGTAAACACAATGAGATGTAAGCATTAAATTCCCGTTAGTTCTGGTAAGAAGCTGAGATGTTTTTAAAGAAATTTCCCAAAGTCCATGTGCAAAAATAAATCTGCTCCTACTTTTTAGAGTGTAGAACTCTGAGTGCTCTTCACAATACAAGCATTTATTATTAAAGCAGAGCAAAGCATTATAAATGTGAATGTGTGAGGAAAACCCTCTGGGGCCAAATGACAAGAGCGGAGCTCCGATCAGGATAAGCCATCGATAACGCCGTATAGCTGTACAGTCTGTGTTTACTGTATCTGCTGTGAGATGATTGGATTCTCTCTGGTTATATTTACGAGTCACAGTACACCCAGCCGTTTCTGGATATCGTGCGTGGGTGCTTAGCTGATTTAATGCATTTCCCAGAGCGTTTGAATTATGCAATATGTTTCACCTGCTCCTTATGTGATGCAGTGTCAATGAATTGAGGTTTTAGAAAGTCAATTGGTGCAATAGTTTCTGATCTGACTGTTAAGCCATTTAAACACTTGTTTGTGGTGATTTACCTCCACAACGGAAACCTTATTTGACACCATTTTACTCACTGTAGTTGCTGCGTGAATATCCTTCCACACCACCGCCTCCCTTGACAGATCGGAGAGTTCAAACAGGTTGTCCACCACAACCTCCCCGATCATGTCGTGGCTTGTGAATCGGTCAAAGTCGTAGACGCTGAAGTGCAGCTTGCGATTGCACAGCTCATCGTACGCCACGGGGAAACAGAAGGTCTCGTCAAACGTGGGGTTCAGGTTCTTGCGGTGCACTCGTGTCTGGAACTTCTTCTTCCTGTCAGGCAGCAGGTACATCTTCACATATGGGTCGGAGGTACCTGTGAAGTCTTTGGCGGGCAGGTCCAAAGCCTTGAGGATCCTCACAACCAAAGCCTGCTCCTCATAGTCATAGTGCAGCGAGAAGCTGAGCTTTCCGCACGTTTCCACATGCCCCTTGGCCTCGTCTTCGGAGTCCACGGACTTCTGCTTGTAGAGTTCTGGTTTGATCCTTCCGATGCTCACCGTAGAAGACTGGCGGAGAGGCACCGTGTCCATGCTGAAGTCTACGCTGGTGACATTCATCTGACGAGGCAGGTGGCGCCGGAATGAATTGTGCCTGTTGGAAAAGTTAGAGGACATCTGTTGAAAAATTAAACCAGGGAAAGATCGACTATCAAAGGGTTGTGTGAAGGATAGTCAGACTAAAGACCAAAGGTGACAGATCATTTGCTGCTGTGGCCCCAGACTCTGGAACTCTCTCCCCCTGAACCTGAGATCATGGGACTCGTTCAAAAAGCAGCTGAAATCTCACCTGTTCCGGCTTTTGTGTGACCTTAATCATCACTCTTTCCTTATTCTGCTCTTATTTCGCCTTTCCCACGATCCACCTATTTCCCTCTTTCCTATTAATTTTCTCTCTCCCTTTTCTTAAACTTTTTAATGACAATTTTTATTCATTTGTCATTTCATATAAGAGATTGTTTTCTTTCTTTCTTTCTTTCTTTCTTTCTTTCTTTCTTTCTTTCTTTCTTTCTTCAGCATCATACTTGCAGTAGCTAGAGGTCAGAGTGATCTCGTTTTGGAGAATCGAGGAGAAATTTGCCCAACAAAATTAAGCTAACAGCTACTCAGAGCCTTTAGGAAGGAATTCCTAACATTTGCAAAAAGCAAGTTTTAATGAACAGGATTAGTTTGCACAAAAACACAAGTCAACTCCAACTCAAACAACTCTGGAGAACTCAAACCAGCAGTTTTGAAAGAGAAAACATGTTTTTTATTTAGCTAAATTTATACAAAAGATCTGTTGGCTAGAGGGACAACTGATTGGTACATGGCATTACAATAGCATTCTAGCTAGCGGTTAGCTCAGCAACACAGTTTAAGATCAACTTCGCTCAAGCAGATAATAAGAACAATTAATACAAACAGTCTCCAAAACGATCCTGCCTCCAAAAAAGTCCCAAAAATCACCACTGGTTCTTTTTCTTTTTTTCTTATCACAGGCTCTGAACTTTCCCTAAATTAGCAACAAGATTTCTGTGGAATTTCTTTAACTATATCCCTATGACCCCTGTCTGCTGCAAGTTAGACATTACTACTCCACATAAAATATCAATAAATCTATTAATGTTAGTCAAGAATGGTTGTTTTAGGATTAATACTGACTGTTTTGATGTGAGGCTAATGTTAAAATGCGAAAGTGTAAAATTCAACAGAGGGACAAAAACAATCAGCACACCACCTAAAACCAGCTCAGCTTAAATTAAGTGAGGCTTTAAATGGCTGCTGCTTCACTTCAGGGTGGTTTCACATCTCAGTGATGACCTTTCGAGAGCAGAGAGATCAACGTGTTTGGTGTGCAAAGAAGAATATTGCCTTTTTCAGGCTTCCAAGGGCTAAATTGATTAAACCACCAACAGAATAAGCCTCTGTTTGTAAGTATTGTTTTGCTGAAAACAGAATTCATCTTGCAAGTTGTCCCAGAATTATCCAGCCACAAGCCAACATGACTTTTTATTTCCTTCCATTTCTTTTGATAAGGGGAAACTGAAAACCCATTTACCAATTAACTGACTTGTGCAAATTTCAGTGAGGTTGACATCGTCTGACAAAACTCTTGTTTGATTCTCCAATCTTGTCACCTAGCAACTGGGCCTCTTGCTTTCTGACAGTAAAAACGATCACAGCAGTGGCACAAATTATGTTACGCAGGAAGCACCACCGAAAGAATAAGTGCAACACTGAAGTATAGTAAACAACACAGAGAGCAGAGTTCACGAGCCAGTGAAAACAGAGGAAATGTGCAAAATACAACAAGGAGATGAACTAAATTGATTTTTACCAAATAATTAACTGTGCACTTGGGATTTCTGGTTGTGGAGTTGAGTTTTAATCTTACTTTAATGCATATTGAACCTACATTACTTATTGGAGGGTCATGAGCTGTTTATCAAGTTTTGTATTTAATTAAAAATATAAATCAACTCTTTGAAACACTTGGAGGCTGTGTTTAAATGGAAATCTTTGGCTTTAACCTAAAATAGAGTTTCCAAGTGCTAAGTTGCAGATTTAAGAATTTCTCCTGGCCAACATGGAGATGAAATCTGAGTGCCTCCTACTGGCAGGGCACACCCAAACCACTACATCTGTCTCCTTTTGATGTGGAGGAGCAGTGGCTCTAGTCCGAGTCTCTCCCGCATGTCTGAGCCCCTCATCCTTCCATCTCTAAGGTTAAGCCTGGCCACCGGAGGGAAGTCTTTTGTGGCGCTTGTATTTGTGATGTTTTCCTTTAAATCATGACCCAAAGCCCACGGCCATCAGCGAGGGTTGGTTGAAAATCCACCAGTAAAGGAAATGTTCCTTTATCATTTTTAGCAAGTTGAATAAACTGGTGTAATCTTCACGAAAAGAAGAAATAAAGCTGCAGCATAATTCATAGAAGCTCCATTCGGTGCTTTTAAAGCAGGGCTCCATTATTTTCATTCAGTCAGACAAATAATTTATGTAAGGAGCATGCATCAGCGATGACTGTTGGTATGTGTGTAATTTCCCTGTTTTACAGTTTCTAGGTTTATTTTGCCCAATTCAAAGTATCTCCTGCACTCATTTGGATCTATTAGAATCACTGTCTTTTTGCCACAGTAGACACTCATACACTAATGTGCAATCAGTGCTACTTTGTTTATTAGCTTTTTTATTAATTTGTTTTCATTTTAAGTTTTTTGTTGGGTAAAACTTATAAATGATTTCTACCATTGCATAGCTTTCTAACTGGTCTCTGACTGAAGAGCTAACGGCTAGTCCAAACATGGCCCAGACCGGTGTGTTGCTGCTGTCTTGAAACAGTTTCCTAAATTTTATAGCAGATCATGCAAAGTTTTCTAATAAACCTGTAAACTCTGGCCAGTATTGGCATGACTGGATTATTTACACTGGGATTTTGTAGCCTGACCAGCAAGCCCCATGCTTCCTTTTGGGAAGCAATGGGTCTGGGAACTCCCCTATTCAAATAACCCCACCCCATGAGAATTCTAACCAAGCCAGTCAGCGCTGAGCAGCGTACGTCACACACAAAGACACACACACACACACACACACACACACACACACACACACACACACACCCCGCAACGCTGAGTTTCTCATGAGCATGGTGTCTGAAACGGGGTTTGCTGCAGCTCTTTCCTCTGTTTTAAATGACTTGAACATGTCTTTAAAACCACAAGTAGAAGCACTAAAAGCCTTTCTTCTAAAAATAAAATATGTTCGCCACTCATGTGTCTCTCTGCCTGTGAGTAACCAGACTCGTTCTCTGTGTAGACCAAGCCCCCACAATGCGGCTCAAAAATTGAAGCAATCCCGGAAGTACCAAAAATTGCAGTTCCACCCTCATCCACTGGGGGGCTGGTGTCAGAAGCGAGCAAATCCTCATTGACTCCCATGTTAAAAATACCAATTTCACAGCAGAAATAAACATGTTTACAGCCTGGTACCAGAACATGTTTTTGGTTTAAATGATCTAGTTTACACTCATGACAACTCTGAGGGGGGTGAATTTTTTTCTCACTCTTCTGTTTAAGTATATTGAAAGCCTAAAATTCTGTATAATTAATGAGCATCCGACCCACGTGACCACAGAGCTAGCTCCGTGGAAAGGCCTCAGTAGAGCCTCGGTCTGGCTTGGAAACTGTTCCGGGATTTTGAGTCTCTGTGTTTGTGTATTCTGTTTTGGATATTTTTTGTGCAATTGTTGGACAAAATGACTTGCTGTGACATTAATTGCACTAATAGAGCGTCCAAGGAGTCTCCACTTCATTTTTTTCGGTAAGTAAAATTATATTTATGTATTTTAGGTCACTGCGGAGCTGAGCTTAGATTTTAACATGTACTGTTTAACCATGAAATTTAAATGTAATAGGGTAAAACCCAGTGCATTTAACATAATGCTGCACTTTAGAAAATGGGTTGAAATATAACATGTTGGTGGAGCTGGGTTCCGACTATTGGCTTGTGGAGCTCTCGGGAGACCGATGTTTTCCACCCGTTTCTCCCCTCCCCGCATCTCTGTCTGATCGCGGCTTCTGTCTGCTTCGCGGGCTGCCGGCTTGTGGAGCTCTGGGATGGAAACCTCTCCACCCGGTTCTCCCCGGCGGCAGCTCAGCGGCGCTTGTCTGCTGTGCGGCTGCCAGCTTGTGGAGGTCTCGGAGACCTCTGTGTTCCACCCAGTTTTACCCAGCGGTCAGCCCGGCGTATCTCTGACTCAGAAGCTCCGGTGTTGTGCACAGTTAACTCCGGTTGTAGCTAGGTTGCTACCTCCGTTAGCTTAGCTCCCACCTCCGCGTTGGCTTTGGGTTAGCTTCAGGTTAGCGTGTAGCTAGTTCGACCAGGTGTCATCAATTGATCCCAGCCTTACAGCCCCACCCTCAGCTCCACCTCTCTTCCCTTTTGTGGAATTGTCTGGGCTTGACGGAACCTGTGACATGGTCAAAATGGCGGTGGTGGCCACCTCCCATTTGGCCTCAAAAACGTGTTATTGGAGCCTATGGAAGCGCATTGTCCAATATTTATATGTCAATGGTGTAGACAGAGGACGAGTCTGGCAGGCCAGGCAAGGAATTTTGTAGGAGAAATAAAAGAATCAGCGATTGGGTTTGGGCATTTGGTCCTGAGTCAAGAATCAGTCTAGAACCAGAATCCTGTTTGATGTCTGTTACAGCTTAGGTTAGGTGTTACAGGTGTAGAGTTGGGGGCTTTTCTGAGTCTTCTGATAAGAGTATTATCTTTGTTTAGACCAATTACTGTAGTAATAATGGACGGACCCCTGCACCGTTACCCGTAGGTTTCTGAAGAGCTGAGTTGAAGCCTAGTGGATGACATTCGCCACCACCATCTTGGCCATGTCACATGTCTAATCACTCCCGGAAAATACAAAAATGGAGCTGAGAGGGCTGTGAGGGTTGGGGCAGATAACTGACACCCAAAGAACTCTGAGTCTATTTAGCTGCAAGCTAACTGTGCTAATACAAGCTAATGGAAGTTGGCGGGCGTTTTTAGCCAGAAAACCGTGATGAGCGACTCTCTTACACTTTGCCTTTTAGACTGTAACACTTTTAAGGAAAGGTTGAGGCCTTTCCTGGAGCAAGCGAGAGGTAAGCCACTAGCGCTGACGGCTCATCTGACACCTGTCAATCAAAAGGACACACCCCTAATTTTTATAAATTTTTTAGCTTTATTTAACGAATGAGTTAAAAAAAGATGGTAAACTTGAGCTGTTAAACCTACAGTGTTTTTTTTAAACCAGACTATAAACTTGTACTTTTCTGATGTGAAGTTGGTGTTTCTGACATGGAAGTCTATGGGAACTTTTTCCTTTCTGGAGCCAACCCCTAGCGGATGAGGGGGAGACAGCAACTTTGGTCACTTTTGGCTGGCAGAGTTTGTCATTTGGTTGAGAGGATTCAACTTAATGGTGATAAACTGTGGGACGATGGTGGTGGAGGAATTAAGAGCCCGTCACGTAACCGGAGGGTTGTGGGATCGGGCACTGCTCAGTCTGTCGCAGTCGTTGTGTCCTTGGTCAAGACACTTAAACCATGTTGCCTGCTGGTCGGAGGCGCCGGTGGCGCCAGTGTTCAGCAGCCTTGCCTCTGCCAGTGTTCCCCAGTACAGCTGTGGCTACTTTGTAGCTCATCACCACCTGTGTGTGTGTGTGTGTTTAAAACAATTTTCACGTCAAATTTAAAAGTTTCTTCAGTGTTAGTTTGTTTGATCACAGTTTGGCTAAAAATACTTAGGCCACCATGTGGACTAATGTTTTTTTTGACATGCTGCTAATGTGTAATCAATAATGAAGATGGTCTTCAGCTGCATCGCAGCTGTGATTTGTCAAATCACGGGGCTTAATTGGCCTGCTGGTGAACAAAAGTCATTTTCTCCAACCGATCAATAGCTGCTACTACACAAAACGGCAGGACTTTTTAATGTTCTCTTTAGCGTTGCAAGTTCACTGAGCTGCAGGGTGTCGGGTCGTTCCTTCAGAGTGTCAGAAAAACACAGTGGGAGGATGAACTGTGAAAGTGGGTGTTGTTACTCGGCCTCTCGGCCTCACCTGTGGGCGTGTGATCCATGAAGACCTTGGCAGAAGTATAATTGAGTTAACGAGCTGAAATGGTGAGCAGAAGCAGGTGTTGATGACGGCTTCATCTGAGAGGCGGATCGCAGCTGCCTGTCGAGCGTCACCAAGAACCTGCCCGTCCACCATGACGGCTCACGCCTCACAGCGATGCTAATTATGGACGTACTGGTTTAAACCCGAGCTAAGAAACAAAGAGAAGCCAGATCTGACTGTTTAATGGCTGGGGTTTCTTCCCGCCGTTTCCATAGCAGCTTGACTCGCACGCACAAGTGATTATAGGGTTCAAACTGCAGCGAGATGCTGTCGGATGTGCTCGAGGGCAGGAGTTTGTTGTGTTTCATTTATTTATTTATTTTGTGACACGCAGTGGCTTGTCAAGGTCACCAAGCAGCCTGATGATGTGCCTGACATGTGGGAACCTACCTCCAGGACAGAAGCAACACTGTCATGAACTGCAAGCATGTTTCTGCACAGAGAGAGGGTCGGCTTGTGTTTCTAGCTGTGCTAGCTGAGGAATCAGATTTGTGACGGTTACTAAATCTCCTCAGTTACCTGGAGGAGGAGGTCGGCTCGGTGGTCTGCCTCTGGATCTTAGTTGGCTGCTTGTTGATCTTCTCCCTCAGGGCCGTTTGCACCTCTGCAGGGATGTCTGGCGACGTCTGACTGATCTTCATGGCTGCCTCCAGGTGCTTCACCGAGCTCGGTCTGTTCACTTTCACCTCAGGCAGGTGCTTCTTTTCCACCTCTGCGACTTTGCACTCAGTGACAGGAGGAGAGTTGGGCGGAGGCACCTCGAGGAAACCCACGTGGAGGCCGTTTTCGACGTGGGCCGACAGGGTCTTGCTCCTCCAAATGGGCCAGCACAGCTTCCAAAAGACAAAGAGAGAGACTGCCAACAAGGTGAGGCCACAGAAACCCACGACCACGGCAAGGAGACTGATAGAGATGTCTACATTTAACCCACAGAGGAGAGGAAACAAGCCAAGGAGGGACGAATGATGGACAAACATGCAAGGGAGAAGGAGAAAAGAGGAGAAAGGAAGCTGTGAGAGAGAGCAGGAAGCTTTTGCATCACTTAGACACAAGTAAAGTCACATCAAGGACACCATGTTCATAAAGAGGAGGACACACCTGCAGATGCTCGAAACCTGCATTAGTTGTGCTAAAGAGTTAATGCAGCTTCTAGATGTGAGTTTGTAGAAAAAAGTCTCCGGTTGCACAGAGAAAACGAACACAGTTCTTCCCTCCATACCTGTTGCTATTTCACTAACTGAGCTAAAGATGCGTAACAGGTGAGAACGCAACGTTTTAACAAATCTTTTCCTCCTGGACTCGATGAGTTTTACTCCAAACGTCAAAAGAGAGCCGCGTTACAAAGAAATGAACTTTATTCCATTTACCTGCGTGTCCTTTACCTTGTATATTGCTCTCCAAGGGGAAAATCTCCGCGCATCTCTCCCGGTCTACGTGTCCCGTGAGACAAAGTTCCGTAACGATCAGGAGAGCCCTTTGGCACAAGGTGATGCTGTCCTCCGTCCGGACGCTCATGTCTCTCCGGTTAAGCCATTGCACACCGGAGGAGCCGGGAGGGCGGCGGTCCATTTGGACACCTGTTATGCGCCACAGCGCGCAGCCTGTCCGCAGGAGACAGCAGGGCGGCGCGCCGCGTCCTGATCCATATCCAAGCGCGCAAGGAGGAGCGACTGGCCGCGTGCCTTCCCGGAGTTTGGGCTTAACTAGTCAGCGGGGTTACCGAGTCCAACCCTCCCCGCGCCCAATAGCAGCGCGTCTCCGTTTGGTGATGGATGCTGTTTGGATGGGGCTTGGTAACGAGATTACTTTGGCTTTTAATAACTGGAGTGTTCCCATGAGCGACAGGCGACCTGTCTTTGTCCCCGCCTGTCGTCCAACACATGCCGCTTCACAAGCTCCACTCCTCCAAGCCCCCCCGCGGGTTTCTGTCCATTCTGACAGTGAACGTCTGCAGACGGACAGCCGGATGCCAGCAGGGTGGAGGGAGAGAGAGCAGGGTCAGTTTAGAAACGAATACTTCCTCAAATCAGGTATGAAAGAAAGGACACGATGTTCAGAACATTGAAATACTTTTAAAGGTGGCAGCTTTTAGCAGGAGCGCCTGAATAAAACCTCATTAAAGTTGGAATTTTTAAGTTAAAGGTCAATTTATCTTTTGTTCAAACTCCACTTGAGCTAATTACTTCCTGAAGAATAACAGATAATTGTTCAGACTTAAAAAAAACTTTTTCATGCTCCTAAAACAATTTTAACCCGAGTTCTTGAGCAGCTGCTGCTCAGTCTTCTTGTGATGGCTCTCAGCTCTTATCCCACCAAAGGGAGCCATGTTTCACATTTTGACACGGAGCATAATGTTTTTCTGTGTTTATCCAAACTTTGTTGCAAAATTTCAACCCATCGAGTCATTTGGAAACTTACAACTTTGAATTATTCTGGATGAACAAAAATGAACATGGCTCCTCATCTGTGTTCTCAGGCCTGATTCATCAAAAGAAGCAGATGCAACTTTACTCACGTTTAAAAGGGAGTTTGCCAAGACATGCATTAACAAAAACAAAAAGGCAAACAGACTTATCATTTTGTATTAAATCGGTAAAACATGCAAACTTGTAAATGGACAGGGATTTGGGTTTGAGTGGAAAACATAAAGGATTAGCAGAGATGGGAACTGTGGCATCAACAAGTCGTGGTTCGAATGAAACCAACTGAGCTTCTTTGGTTTCTTGAGATGTTTCACTCCTCATTTGAGGAGCTCGGTCAATTCTGGAATACTGAATACTGGAATACGAGGGAGTCGAGCAACTGTAGCTGTTCATCGATGAAGGTGCTGTAGCGCGTTGCATGATGGGATTGCTAAACAAAGGAAGCGTTGGTCGCTTTATGTGGCTGTGAGCTTACAAACCTGCAGAAAATGGTACACTCCTGTTGTGTGAAGGGCTGCCATGCTGTCTTTTACTGGCTTTTTCTGATCTGCTCGTGCTTGGTAATAAATCCTTTTAGCTTAATTAATTAATTTATTTGTATTTATACTTTAAAGAGGGACTGCACACCATCAGAAAACTTAACTCCACCCCTAGTCAGGATTTAAAAAATGCTATGAAAGTGGGCGTTGCCAGGAGGCACGGAGTGGGAGGAGACTGTACCGATGACATGAAATTGTCCCAGCCCCAGCCAATCACAAATTTAAAATGCAGTAGCCACAGTTCTGCCACAGGGGGCAGCACTAAGACGTTTTTAGACCTAGATTCTAGATTTAATCAAGTTTACACAAACGTGAAAAAAAGCAGCTCAGAAACGGAAAGATAGCATTTGTAAAGACCCAATTATACAGTTTATAAGCAAAATAATAATAATAATAATTTTGTGATTTAGTTACTCTTTAACCAGAAGTTACAGTTCCTAAATGTTTCAGTTGCACAGACATGTAATGCATAAAATTACTGAAGGCAGTTACAACATGGCGAATCCGCATCAAGGGCTCTCAGTCTGGGTTTAAATGTATTCAAGGAGATAAACTTGGTTAATTTCTGCTCCATGCAGAAGGAGCAGAGTGAACAAAAGCCCCTTTGCCCGGTTCGATGTGAACAAACAAAACACAAAGGAACAACTGACCATTTGAGAAGTTACACTTTTCAATTTAACTGTTAGCTTGAAACATAACTCTTTTTTTCTCCAAACTGAGGCTGTTCAAAAAGCTATCTACAGCTAATAACATTTAAGTAGTTCATGCTCATACAACACCTACATCATAATTTATTATTTTATATATTGAAACGCCCCAAAAAAAGTTCTCACAGCTTCTTCTTCTGTCTCTGGGCATTAAACAGTTAATCTGTTTAAATAATGTAAATCAGTTTCAAAGCAATATCTAGAAAATGAAATGTTTTTAAAGAAAAAATATCAACAAGAAAACAAAAGAAGCAATCCTGAACACGTCTAATGACAGAAGGTTGAGCTAAAGTTAGAAAGTTCATCCAGCCCATCTCCACATGCGTTTCTCTTCATTATCTGGTACTCCGCGCAGGCCGGGGCCACCAAACCGTAGCCAGAGGAAACTGTAAATTGCAGTGGAAGGAGGTGAACAGCGGAGATAGAAGAATGACACATATGGCTGAGGGTGACGCAGACTTCTACAGCTGAGGTTACGGAGATGAAGCTGTCCCGAAGGGGTGATATCAGGAGGGGGAAATAAACCGGAACAGAAATGAAAAATCCTTTTCACAACCCAAGAAAAGCGCTGACAGCTGACAAGTGTATATCCACACATTTAAAGTTCAAAAACATAGGAATAACAGGAAGTTTAAATGTACTTTAACAAGCCAACCAACACCTCTAAAACGATGAAGACTCTTTTAGCTCCTTTAAAGCAAAAATAATAACTGGCATTTAGAATAAATGACACTTTACAAGCAATGTCATGTTCTGTGTCCCTCTGTCCTCAGCCTCCTCCTGTTCTCCTCCAGGTTCTCCTGCTTAGTTCTTTCCACATTTAGTTTATTGAATGCACCTGCCTTCCCTCCAGATCACTCACAGCTGTCACCTGTTCCTCTGATCACCTCCCTCTGTGTTTAAAAGCCCTGTCTTGTCCCTCAGTGTTTGTCGGTCCATTGTTGCGACTCAGCGTTGTTTTGTTCCCTCGTCAGCTTCTAGTCTTTGTGCTCATTATTGAGCTTTTGTTTTGTTTTTTTGGGCTTCCTGATTTTCAGTTTTATGGATTTGACTGCTACATCTAAGGCCTCGTCCACACGTAGCCGGGTAAAAAAAAAAAAGAATATCCGCCCCTCCAAAAACTTGCATCCACACCACCTCGTTTAAAAACTCTGTCCACACGTACCCGGATAAATACGTTGTTAAGGACATGCCAGACCTGTAGGTGGCAGTACTTCCCCCGTTCTTAACCTCGTCCTTCGTCTGTGGTCTTCCGCAAGGAGCAGTAATTCCGCTTGCAAAAACAAACAAGCAAAAAGCGCTTGGACGATTGATAAAGCGAGCGCAGCTCTGAGGGCATCCATGCTGTCCGCTAGTGTAAACACAGGTCGCACACGTGATGTCAGCATTTTTTGTCGCGGAAAGTGACGTTGCGGACCTTAAAACTCCGGTTTTGTCTGTCCACACGCAGACACCCAAAACGGAGGAAACGCAGATCTTCACTTTGGCCGGAGTTTTAAAAAAGATCCGTTTTCGTGTGGATGACAGGCCAAAATGTAGAAAAATATCTACGTTTTGGCAGATCCCCGGCTACGTGTGGACAGGGCCTTAAGTTATTTTTGTTTCCACCTTAATAAAAGGATTTTTACCTTTTTCAACTGCTCTTGCCTCGAGTCATTCTGGGTTTCCGCCTTTTGGGTCCTACCTCCTCCTGCTCAGCGTGACAAGCAAAGCATAGATTAAAGGCAAAGATTTCTGCCGTATCTGTACTGTTTATCATATATTTCGTATCAATGGCTTCTGTTTACTTCACCGTGCATTAAAACTGCAGTCCTTAAACTTTACCAGAGTTTACCAGTTAACAGACTTTTACAGGCATAAAACAGCATTTAGGCTAAAGAATCTGAAAACTTGACAAGTGACGTTCAAAAATCGTCCCACAGCAGACTAACAGTGTCTGACGGTCTTTTGTGATGATAGTTACCAAAGAAATGCATCATCCTTCAGGTGATCACTGAACATTTAAACGTCAATTTGCTGCTGCAAGTTGAACCCCGTCACTGTTCGGTCCCCAAGTCTTTCCATTTAGGGCGAGTCCTGAGTTACGGAGTCCAAAAAAGTCAATTGAAAACATTTTCCATTTAAATGGTAAATGGCCTGTATTTGATTTAGCGCTTTCTAGAGTCCTGGAACCCCCCAAGGCACTTTACAACACAATCAGTCATTCACCCATTCACACACAAATTCACACACTGATGGTGATGAGCTACAATGTAGCCACAGCTGCCCTGGGGCGCACTGACAGAGGCGAGGCTGCCGAGCACAGGCGCCACCGGTCCCTCCGACCACCACCAGCAGGCAAGGTGGGTTAATTGTCTTGCCCAAGGACACGACAGTGACAGACTGAGTGGGGCTCGAACCTGCAACCTTCCGATTATGGGATGAGCACTTAACTCCTGTGCCACCGTCGCCCACCTTATTACTTTAACAACAAACTAATAATAACTAGTTTGTAGAAGTTGAAAAAGTTTCTTAAATGGTGAATTTGTTCTACAGAAAATTTAGCAAAACTACAAAACCTGCGAAGGGCGTTCTGGTGTCACATTTCTCAGGAAACTGGCTTTTTAAGTCAAACTTTTTGAAACTGTATTATTAGAATATCAATATTTAAATGATTTTATATGATAAATGACCCACACTTGTATAACACCTTTCAGAGTCAGAGGACTCCAAAGTGCTTTACACTACAGTGTATCATTCATCCATTCACACACACATTCACACACTGATGGTGATGAGCCATGATGTAGCCACAGCTGCCCTGGGGTGCACTGACAGAGGCGAGGCTGCCGAGCACAGGCGCCACCGGTCCCTCCAATCACCACCAGCAGGCAAGGTGGGTTAAGTGTCTTGCCCAAGGACTCAACAGCAGAATTCTCTGCCTGGAGCTGGGATCGAACCTGCAACCTTCTGATTATTGAAAAACCTGCTCTAACTGTTAAGCTACTACTGCCCCTAATGAGATATGCCCCTATATGAGATACCCTGGGACAATCTTTCTTTTTAATCAATCAGTCAATCAATCAGTCGATCAGTCAATCAAATCAAAGATACTTTATTAATCCCAGAGGGAAATTAGAGTTTCAGTACACACAATTCAGAGATCAGACATACATGGGCAAGACACATGACAAGAATTGGTGACTGTGGTCATTCGCAACCCTGAGTCGCGCTACCTTAATAGAGATAACAGGGTTACATGAGGATTGGTTCAGGTGGAGGGAAAAAAAGGCACTTCAAAGTTACCCTCCATAGGGAGGGC